GATGGACACTTGGCTTTCTTTTGATGTGTCTGTTCAACAGCTATTTGAGTAACAGTCTGTCCTGAGTGCCAAGGACAGTCATAGGTGCTAGGAATACATTGATTTCTGGAGCTTACATTCTAATGGAGGAGTGGGCAGTAAACATAAACAAGTAGCATAATTCCAGGTAGAGAAGGGTGTGGATATATGTTAGATTAGGTGGCCAGTGTGGACTTCTGTAAGGAGGTAACAGTTGAGCTGGGACCTAAAGAATGGGTCATTTGAAAAGCTGGGGGAAGAAGCAGCAGGAACCACTAATGCTAAGGTCTTAAGGCAGAAGCAAGCTGGGTGTTTTTCTTTTGTTTTTGTTTTGGCTCTTGACCTTGGTGTTATCAGCACCACCTGTAACCAAGTGAGCTAGCCAGCCAGCCCAAGCTTGGTGTTTTCTAAGAACAAGGAAGGCTGGCGTGGCTGTAGGCAAGTTAATGAGGGAGAGAGTGGATGAGACAAGATGGGAGGGTACATGGGAGGGTATGCAGGGCTTTTGAGTTCGAGTTCCCAGTAAGGAGCTTGCATAGGGAAGCATTGAAAGATTCTGAACAGGTGAGTGATATGGATCTGGTTTACATTGTAAAAGATCTCTCTGAGATAGGGACAGTGGATTGTAGGAAGCAGGAATGGAAGCAGGGATACCAGGTATAAAGATATTGTTGTTTCGTAGGTGAGAAATGATGGCTCAGACTAGGGTGAGTGGCTAGGGAAGTGGAGGGACAATGCTGTGGTAAATACATTTATGCATAATTTTTGTGCCCACTTTAGTATTTCTGTAGGAATGATTCCTACAAAGAGATTTGCTACATTAGAGAGTATGAATAATAATAGTTGATATTCATTCAGTGGTGAATATGCTAGGTACTGTTTTAAGCACTTTTCGTGTAATTGAGCCATAAATAAGCTGTAGTCTCAGGGCCCCTAGCATGGTTAAGAATTAAAAACATAGGGCCAGTCCGTGGCTCACTTGGGAGAGTGTGGTGCTGATAACACCAAGGCCACAGGTTCGGATCCCATATAGGGATGGCTGGTTGGCTCACTGGGCGAGCGTAGTGCTGACAACACCAAGTCAAGGGTTAAGATCCCCTTACCAGTCATCTTTTTAAAAAAAAAAGAAAAGAAAAAAAAAAGAGAGAGAAAATTTGAAGGTTAGGGCTGGCCTGTGGCTCACTTGGGAGAGTGTGGTGCTGATAACACCAAGGCCACAGGTTCGGATCCCATATAGGGATGGCTGGTTGGCTCACTGGGCGAGCGTAGTGCTGACAACACCAAGTCAAGGGTTAAGATCCCCTTACCAGTCATCTTTTTAAAAAAAAAAGAAAAGAAAAAAAAAAGAGAGAGAAAATTTGAAGGTAAGGGCTGGCCTGTGGCTCACTTGGGAGAGTGTGGTGCTGATAACAGCAAGGCCATGGGTTCGGATCCCTCTGTAGGGATGGCCGGTTAGCTCATTTGGGACAGCGTGGTGCTGCCAACACCAAGTCAAGGGTTAAGATCCCTTTACGAATCATCTTTAAAAAAAAAAAATTGAAGGTAAAAAATTGAAGGCATGTTTGGGAGAAAGTAATCTGGTAATAGTGGGAGATAAGGCTGGTAAGGTAGCATAGAGCCAATGCTGAATGGCATTAATGCCAGCCTTAGGTTTTTTTTTTCCTGTGAGATTTTTCTTTTTTTTTTTTTTAGTCAGATTCAAACTTATTAATGAGCCCTTTTATCCTTTTATAATTAAAGCAATAGGGATTGAGGAGCAATTCAGTGAGTTCAAGTAACATTTATTGAGCATCTGTTATATGCCAGGTTTTATGCTGGTTGCTTTTGCACACACATTTTACCAGGTCAAGGGGATTAAGTGACATGAACTCAGAAGTAGTATTCCCTGTCTTACATATGAATAAACTGAAGTTTAAAGAGATTGTGAAACTTTCCAGGTCACCCAGTTAAGAAGCAGCAGAGTCAGAATTCAAACCCAAGCCTTCAATGCTCAGAGGGTCTTAGTGATTGGCAGTGCCCATTGTTGAAGGAACACAGAGGAGAACAAAGCCTGAGAAAAAGTTTATGGGTATGGAGATTAGGAAGCCATTGGTAATGTTTAAAGTTACAGGTGCCCAGAGGAGAGCTGGGCCATGCTTGCTATCCATGAAGTACTCGAGCAACCAAAGACTGAAAGGGCAAACTGAAAGGGAACTCAGAAGCTGGTACTCCAGGTGTGGCAGTGCCAGGGCCAGGTGAAGGGAGGGCTGGTAGCCTACCACTGACAGCAGGGACATGATGGTACTAAATGCAAGGGTGCCCAACCTTTCTGATGTCAAAGGTTTGATATGAATTCTCTTTGTAAACATTGCTTATTATATATGTGCTGATTTGCAAGGGAATGGAGGTCCTCTGGAAAGTCGTGTCGCTTTTCTTCCTTCTCCCACTCACTGGTATAGTGATAAATCTGTGATAAGACATGCTCATTGCTAGCATGTTATTTACCTTCTTTGTGTGTTGTAAGCCCTCTTCTCTACTCCCTCCTTCTAGTGAAGTGGAATTGTCACTTGAAACACTCATGTCTGCTAGCCCGTGGTTGGCAGTAGAAGGTCCCATAGAAAAAAGCAATAATGTAGCTCACTTAGAGCATGGTGCTGATAACACCAAGGTCAGATCCCCTTATCCACCAGCCACCAAAAAAAAAAGCGATAATGAAGAAGGTGCTATAGGAGCAAAAATCCACCTGTGAGCACAGTATTGTAAATGTCCCTCCTCCCAGATTTTACCCTTTGATAGAATCATGGAAGAAAATCTAAAATCTGCCAGCATCAAGAATCAATGGAGGACCCTATTTTATCAGCCACCATTTTTATTAAAGATTCCTAGTCTAATTAAATTCATACAAATGCCATGCCCATAATTTTTTAATTTTTTATTAGCATATTAATTGTTACAAATCATACTTAATTTTTATGCCCCTTAACCAATCTCTCCCCTTCCCCCTCCCACTACCTCCTCTAATAACCTTAGATTTGTTCTCTCTATCTGACAGATTAAGTGTTCCTTTGTTGGTTAGTTGCCTAGATGATCTGTCCAGTACTGAGATAGGTGTGATCAAGTCCTCCCCTAGTATTCTAAGTCAGATGCTTCTATTACTCTGGAATGTGCTTTGTGGAGAGAGAGGACCTCTTCTTTTTTTTTGGTCTCCGCTGGTGCCTCTCCTTGTATCACTGCAGGTAAGGTGAGTCAAGTGAAGCAGTGGGAGTGGAGAAGGAACAAAGAAATCTGTAATTGGTTGTAATCAATTAGTTGTAAACACCACTGCATTCAGACTGCCTATGCCCATAATTATTAGAATCATTTTTGGAAAAGAGTTTCTGCATGTTTTCTCTAATACTGGTACTTACTCATGGGCCGGCAGAACTTGAATTTATGAGAGATTTTTCTTAGTTCTTTTTTTTTTTTTTTTTTGTCCTTTTTGAGACCAGCCGCACCGCACTCAGCCAGTGAGCGCTGCGAGCGCACCGGTCATCCCTATATAGGATCCGAACCCGCGGCGGGAGAACCGCTGCGCTCCCAGCACCACACTCCCCCGAGCGCGCCACGGGCTCGGCCCTTTCTTAGTTCTTACTAATTGTTTTTTTCTTTTTTTCTTTTTTTTTTTTTCCAGTCTGGGATGGGTTCCAAATACTTGAATTTAAGATTGCCTGAGTTTTGTTTTTTTTTTAAAGATGACCGGTCGCGGGTCTTAACCCTTGACTTGGTGTTGTCAGCACTGTGCTCTCCCAAGTGAGCTAACCGGCCATCCCTATATAGGGATCTGAACCCTTAGCCTTGGTGTTATCAGCACTGCACTCTCCCAAGTGACCCATGGGCCAGCCCTATTACTAATTGTTTTTGGCATGAATAATCATATATTTGCTGCAGAAATATTAATGAGTTTGATTACAGGATGGTGCCTATAGTCCTGATGGGGCTGTTTCATAGTATGTGATGTAAGGTCTATATTTCCTTTTTCAAATCTGAAAAATTCTGATTCTGAAACACTTCTGGTTCAAGTCATTTCAGATAAGATATTGAGGACCTATCCTGCCTTCCATTGACCTCAGAGTTAAATCTTGGGATAGATAGCCCAACCTCTGACTCCTTTGTTAGCCTTATCTGTTAGTTTACAGCTTAGAAAGAGCTAAACAATTCTTGTGTTCATCTTTTTTTCATGCTGCCATGTAGCTTAAGTAGTACACCTTCTCACCGCCTCTTCTGCTATCATACTAGTTCGCAGCCACCACCATCCTCTCTCATTTTAGCTGTGACTGCCTCCCCCCACTCGAGTGGCTTTCCATTATGCTTAGAATAAAATCCAAAATTCTTCCAATGCCTGTAAGAGCCTTCATGGTGTGGCCCCTGGTTCTGTTTACAACCTTGTTTCCTACCATTCTTCCCTTTGCTCACTGCTCTTCAACCTCTCTGTCCTTCCTGTCACTGAAAATGTAAAGCACTTCTCTGCTTCGGGGCTTTTGTACTTCTTGTTTTCTCTACCTAGAATGCTCTGCTCTCAAATATCTGCATGTTTGTCCTTTATTTGATTTTGATTTTTGCTCATACAGCACCTCCTCAGAAAGGCTCTTATGATTGCTCTGTCTAAAATAGCATCCTTCCTCATCCTTGAATCTTATCATTCTTGATTTTCATCACTTTCTGATGACATATATAACTTTCTATTTATTTATCTGTCTTCTCCTCCTCTGGGAGGCAGGGACTATGTCTTATTCATTGCTGTATTTCACACCTTTGAGGGATGCCTGGGATAGTAGGTACTCAGTAAATATTTGTTGAATTAATTGCTCTGTGTAGGATGGATTGGAACCTGTCTCCTAGATTTGAGGCCATGTGCTTCAGTACATTTAGTGAAAACCACAATTATTTCCCTGTTATTTTGTTTTTATTTGATTCTGCAAGCTCTACTCTTCTGTATCATCAGGGTAACAATGTCTGCCTTACAGGCTGCGGGCCTCCCGGGTGCTTCTTGTCGGCATGAAAGGACTCGGGGCTGAAATTGCCAAGAATCTCATCCTGGCAGGAGTGAAAGGACTGACCATGCTGGATCATGAACAGGTGCGATGTTGTCACCTTATTACTGCCCTGCTCTGTCTCCCCTCTTCAGTATGAACACTTGCAGATTTTGTGAGTGCCTACTTGAACATTCAGGGCTGTGAAAGGGTTAGCGTTAATGGAACTTTGGAGACTGAAGGTGCTAGTGCTGGGTTTAAATTCCAGCTCCACCACATCCTAGCTGGATGACAGGTGGATATTCATCACCTCATTGAGCTTCCTTGTCTGTAAAGTGGAATTAATAACATCTCCCTGGGAGAGTGCTTGTGAGCAGAGAAGTAGTAGTAGTAGTTTTCCAATTTGTACCTAAAAATTACCTGAATAATCGAAAATGCAGAGTTGCCTGGAAGCTTTGTTATGGTATAGCCTTCATTCCCAATGATTCTGATTTAGACAGTCTGAGATGAGGTTCAGGAATATGAGGGTACTTCAAGAAGTACATGGAAAGATTTGTATTATCTTTCAGTTCTGTTTTTCCATGAACTTTTTGAACTACCCTTGTATGTACATTTTAAAAGTATCTCAGGAAGTTTTGATGTAGATGGTTCATAGACATTACTTTGAAAAACACTGGATCAGAGAGAATGCATGTGGACTCCTTAGCATAATGCCTGCACATAACAAGCACCCAATAATTAATAATTGTTCTTCATTTTCCCTTTTTATTATCTTCGTTTTTCTTTTTGGTTTAATTAATAATAATTGTATAATGCTGTTTAATTGATAATATAATGGTAGTGCCCAAGTCCAATGTAGCTTTCTCTGACCCGTCTTTTCTTCAAGGTGAAAGTAAGTGCTCTTTTCTCTGTATTCCCATGCCTCAATGACATTTAAGTCATCTCGTATAAAAAATTTCACACTTTTTTTTTCTTTTTTTTTTAACAGCTGGCTGGTGCAGTGATCAAACCCTGGACCTTGGTGTTATCAGCACCACACTCTAGCCAACTGACTAACCTTCCAGCCCCTCCATGAACTTTCTGAAGTGCTCTCTTATATACAAAAGGAGAGAGAATAATACTTGAGGCCCATTTACCTGGCTTCTACAGATATTGATATTCTGTTGATTTTTTTTTTTTTTTTAAGATTACCGGTGAGGGGATCTTAACCCTTGGCTTGGTGTTGTTAACACCACGCTCAACCAGTGAGCCAACCGGCCATCCCTATATAGGATCCAAACCCATGGCCTTGGTGTTCTCAGCACCACACTCTCCCCAGTGAGCCACGGGCCGGCCCAATATTCTGTTGATTTTTAGATTTTTAAAAAATCTTTTCTGCTATTTTTTTTTTTGGACAATGTTTTAAAGCAAATTCCAGAAATCATGTGGTTTTTTTGGAAAAATACTTCAAAGATTGTGTTGTCAGATTATATTCTTTTCTTTTAAGCAATGAACAGGGATCCTATCTCATGCTATGTAACTAGCACACCTTGTGAAATATAGGCTTTATGCTGGCAAGTTAGCTCAGTTGATTAGAGCGTGGTCTTGTAACAAGGTCAAGGGTTTGGTTTCCTGCACTGGCCAGCTGCCAAAAAACCAACAAGTAGAAATGTAGGCTCTGGGCCGGCCCGTGGCTCACTCAGTAGAGTGCGGTGCTGATAACACCAAGGCCACGGGTTCGGATCCCATATAGGGATGGCCGGTTTGCTCACTGGCTGAGCATGGTGCTGACAACACCAAGCCAAGGGTTGAGATCCCCTTACCGGTCATCTTTTAAAAAAAAAAAGAAATGTAGGCCCTGGACAAAAGTAAATTTTTTTTTTTAAAAG